TGTAACCCCAAAGAAATGTTTGATTCATGCCCAGCGCATATGGCACCGGCTGCTGTTCTGCAGGCGACGCTGATGGCTGGACGGGCCCCTTGGATACTCCAGTGGAGGATCTTTTACCTGATAAAAAAGGTAAAAGAAAGAAAGACCTCCAAGTAAATAATTTGCCCACTCCAGCTCCTAGACCAAATACAAACAGTGGGGAAGAGGGTTAGCTCCACCCACCACAGCTCCCAAGCTAGCAAGGAGTATATATTCATGCTAGCATTTATGGCGCCTAAAACACATTTATGATACACACATATGACACACTTATAACATCTTACAAAAACAGGCTTAATAATGACAATAACTGAACTAAAATCGCAATCAGAAACATCAGGGTGGCTAAATATGAATTATGTGTGTTTTAAGGTGTTGGAAAGAAATGACACCCACCTCTCCCACAGGGGAATTGTAGAAAAGGGGAGAGGCAAAAGGGGTACACTGTATTTATAGGATTGCACCAAAGAAGAAGAAGAAAAGAATGAGGAGGGGCTCTAACTGATAATGAACATGACTACAGGCTTGGAGGTCCTAAAAGTCAGGTATAAAAGGAGTAGTTTGGGGGTTTAGAACACATTTTGTGTAATTATAACAATGTGATTTATGACCCTGATACATGAGCTCTTTTGACAGTCTGATGTTTATTTATGAATGCAGAATTTCTTGAGCAGTCACCATGGAAACTTGATGCAGCTTCATGTTGTTAAATTAAAAGTAAACACTGTGTATTTTGCACTCCACTCCACTAAACTTATCACATAAGTAAATAAAGTGTGGGTTAGGTCCCTCCTGTGGAACGAGCCACACAAACCGATGGATCAGAAAAGACAAAGTCAGCTCCAGCATGCCTTTTCATATTATGTGCCTGCTTATCTCCATTTCTTTACAGTAGATGGGAACTTTTGCAGTAAAGCAATGGCTTACAAACAGTGGACTGTGGACTAATGCAGACATCTGAAGCCTGACAGCAGCTGGTATATACACAGCTTTGGATAAACTGGCCCTTTAAACAGCCCAGAGGAAGAAGAGACCTCTGCGTTATCAGTGCAGCCTAAAGCACAATAATAATAATACTATTAATATTATTTTTATAGCAATAATACCCCAAATAATGAAGTCATTAATTACACATTGGTCATGCTTCACAGGAGGTCAGGAGTGACCGATGAACGTGATGCTACATTACAGTCTGTCCTATGAGTTCAGCAGGAGGAGGTGAACCCACAGCTGGGACCAGTTCTCTAGTGGGTCCAGTATCATACTTGTGTTCATCCTGGTCTGAACCTGGTCAGAAGAACTGACTTCACTTTTGAAAATTCAGTACTTATAAAAGGTAACCCCAAACAGTCTACAACGGCTGTTTTCTGTCCACCAAAGCAAATTTGATTGACGAGGTTTTTGTACCTTCACTTCTCCAAAAAGCAAATAAAGAGATTAAACAAAGATTTACTGACGACCGTCAGAATTGCCCGAGCTAACGTAGATCGCTTTATGCTCTTGAGTCAGGAGGGATAAGAGAAGTGACTGCACTGACTGCAATCTGCCGTCTACTGACATCTAATGGAGAGATTTATACACGTGAGAACTTTAATGGTACTTGAAAATAGGCCAGGATCTGCACTGCTTCAGCCTGAGCCTGTTCAGTCAGCACCGCCTGTGTAATATGAGAATAATAATAAACATGACTTTTCCTTCCTCTTCCATAAAAAAGGATGCTGCTCCATACTTACCTTTTTAGAGACTTTGATGTTGTTTGGCAGGATAATGGCATCGCACTGAAGTTTAGGTGTTCAAAATACACAATGACTGATTTTCATGTCAACAACTAAGTAAATATTCTGATGAAGAGCCACTAAAGGAAGTTTTTGGAGTAACTCTCAGCAGCAATGTGGACGTGAAATAGTTGGTAGACGTGTCATTAACCCTACGAGAAAAATCTTTAGTTCTATTCAGGTACAGAGACGTATTTAGGCTACAGGCAACAGTTTGATTCAAATACAATTTATTGTCAAAATGTTATAGTGCTGATCCGTGACTGCCTTTGTACAACTTTTACAAAGTGACTGCGAACATTGTGGAACGATTCATAGCGTTTGATTGCTTGTGTGAATGTATTAAACAGGAAACCAGGAGCTGCAGAAACCCAGTAATGCTGAAGACGCATGCGTGTGCGTTTATTATTATGGCTCCAGGTTACATTTCAGGTCTTCTCAGCCCGCACCGCCCCACTCGAACTCTGCGCTCCTCCAGTCACATGCTGTCATTAGTTCCACGCTCCCAGTTCAAATCTAGAGATGACAGTTTTCTCCATTGCTGTCGTCCCCCTTTCATAAAATCCTCTCCATCCTTGGAAGTCTTCAAATCCAATCTGAAGCCCCTCCTATTTTCCAAGGATCTCTCTGACACCTCTGTTATTGTGTTTCAGCTATTCTGCTCTTTTATCTCATTGGATGATGTTTGCATGTGTAGACACGTGTACGTGTAGTTTAAGTTCACATATGTGTGCTTGTGTGTGAATGTGTACATTTTTGTATATGTGCATATTTGCATGTACACATATTTTTTTACAAACATATACGGATGTCTCACTGTTTCTATGATGTTTTCATCTTATCTATTTTAATTCTTTTCACCATATCATCCCTCTGTTCAGCACTTTGGCCGACACTTGATGTCTTTTAAATGTGCTATATAAATAAAGATGACTTATATTTGCATCCGTGTGTCAGAGTGTGTGTTCTTACCTTTAATTTAGGACACGCACACACAGAGCATAGAGTGAACAGGGACTATTAAGCGTGTGGCCTGTGTGTATCTATGCCAGTGAAACAGCCTGGATCTGCTCATTTTGAATATTGAAAAATATCGTGACTTAAGAGAAACATAATAACTAAAACAGAGCAGAAACACGACAATTCAGCAGAAAAGTAACAACTTAAGCAGAAATATTGGAAAATGAGCAGCTGAAAAAAGCTGAATAAGGTGACGTTCACTCAAAACTACTTGTTGTTCAACTGTGAAAAACTGGCAGAAATGTTAAAAACGCACGAAAGAACAGCCAGCAGATACACACAATTAGAAATATGAGCACATATGGAAACACAAATGCACAGAGACACACAGGATGTCAGTCAACCACTCTGAATATTCAATTTGAATCTTCCTGGTTTTATGGATTCCCCTCGAACCAATGGCCATAATTTCCTAACCGTAGGGGCTGGAGCGGTCATTCTTAGACTGTTCTGTTCAGAGGAGATGGGGGCATCTTCAAGTGTTGATAGTTCATAATTAAAATATGAATTATTAAAGATATGGCTTATAATGCACCATAACTGAGTAGAGGTGAACTGCCTTGACTTGCCCTCAAACAACGGTTTGTAAGTCTAAATCTATTTGAAGCATCGATATCATTCTTTCACTGTCACATACAGCAGGCTTTGGTGAACAGTTAAGGCAATATTTTCAGGTCTCAGGCACATTTCATACACTGTGCTCTGCAGACAGGCACACGGACCTTTCAGGTCTACAAAAAGTTTCAAATGAAAAGCTCACAGGTGTGTTTATTAACTCAGTGTTGCAGAATCACAGTGATTCATTAAAAACGTCTGCAGAAGTTGCAAACTTATGATTCATGTCATAAGTTATGATACACTGCTCTCCCCTGCATAAGCTGCTTTTATAGATTAAAAGTATCAGCAATACTGGCCATACATTTACTTGGTATCACATCTATCCCACAATCTGCAGTACTGCACACACTAAGATCACAGTGGACAGGTTCTGTCTCTATGCTGGGAACGTCTGTGTTTCCCGGGATCAGCTGTTGCAGATTGTTGGTGCATGGAGGGCTGGGGCCTCTTCTGCCCCCCCTAACGGAGACCACGTAGGTAGTCGGAGGCTGTAAGACAGCGGCTCTCTGGAGAAATCTGATATCTCAGGAGGATGACAGGATTCAACCAGAGAAGCTGCTTCATTATAAAGTCTGTGGTTTATAACTGAAATCTATGATACACATAAACAGCCGTCCACGCACTTAAGTAGTGAGTGAGTATTCACTCCAGTGATGACCTGTGAGAAAGAAACTGCACACACAGCGATCGGGCGTTATCAGTGACCATAAGATTATCATTGCCAAGCAAGAACCTGCAGCTCGAGCAGGCTGAAGAAATCCTTTAATGCTGATGCAGGCTTCACAGTGTAGAAACGAGAACTCTAAGAAACAAAAGAGCAGAAGTCATGTATGAAACACAACACAGTTAACATGTGAAGCACTTAAAAGAAAACACAAAACACTTCCAGTGAGGCGTGGCGATTTAAACATTGCCTGTACTGCTCAGCAGTTGTAATGGCATCAAGAATATCTGCACATAGTTCATAATTACAATTAGAATGAACATTTCTTTCACTAAACTCAAAGTCACTCATTATAGAGCGACATCACTATTTTAACGCAGATGCTCTGATGTAGTAGGTCCAAATACAGGATGGTGGGTCACCCACCCTCCTGCTCCAACATGGTAGGAAAATGTTTATATTCATAACAATGTGAATTTTCTGCTTTAAATACTTTTATATATGTTTTTAAAATGGTCCCTCCACCCACTTTTAGTCCTTTTTCAGACATTGAAATTGGAGGAAATGTTCCAAAAATGTGCTGATTTGAAAGTGAATGATGCCGATCTTTGTTTCCATAGCACAGATTTGTCTGAGACATCATCGAGTGTCAGCCTGTGCCTCTAAGGAGCGTCCAGCGTCCTGTTCATTGTCCATTTCTATCATAATGCACGCACTGGGGTTAAATATTGAATAACAATGTTCTTCCCACAGAGTTCAGACTCAATACTGTTAATAACAGACAATCATAGGGTCCTGCTGTCCACACTGTTATAGTTCTTACAGAAATACAGGCTGAAACATACAGACAGGAGCAGCTAAGAGAAGAAGAAATGTGCTGAAACTGTCAGAAAGGAGATTTATTTGTTTCCACTTTACATGTGAGCAGCACAGCAAACACAGTGAAGCCAGTTAACCTCAAAGTCCACCAGTCACAGTGGACACAGGACAAAGCTTCGACTTTCATTACCATCAAACTTTGTTGTGATTTAACATTTACTTCAGCCTCCTTTAAATTTGATTCATGTGACATCAGGACAACATTCCAGGGAGAAGCGATCGAGCGGCGTCCCCCCGGTGTTTTATCCCACATCTCGTACTCAACGTTTCTTTCAGCCCAGAAAAGTTCATGTGATCATCGAAGATTTAAGCGTCAGCATCAAAATAAAAAAGAGCCAGATTTCAACCAGCTCCTAAGAATTTCAGGGACCTGTACAACCGTCACAATTTCAGTAAGAATCTTTCATGGTTTCATCAAATATGCTAAATTCAGTCCAACATAAACTGGTCAGTTCTGAGGAAGCTCTGTGATTTCATATGGAATGGCTCGGGCTCGAGTATCACATCCAAGGTTGTGTCAGATAAGGAAGAGAAGTGGAAAACAGCAGGACACCTGCAGCCTGGTGATACAGGAGCAATAAAAGCTGCACACAGTGCTATCAATGATCACCAGCAGTTATCAAACTGAAGCTAGACACCCAGATGTTTCTTTCACAGCACATAACAACATTTTAAACTGCTACAGTTTCAGTTATGCACGGCGAGGTTTGTCGCACACCTAGATCACACACGCTTATACAAACAGGAAGAGGCGTGCTCAGCTCCACCTTCTCTGAGGCTACCCTGTAAATGTCACACGTGCCTCACAAGGAAAGATCTCAGCTGCCACACTGAGAGTGGTGAAGGCAAACGTCCAGCCTGGCTCCAGTGGCTAGTGCAGGTTGGGATACTTCACGCAGAATCTGTCAAAGGCATCATATATGGCCTGTCTGGAAATGAAACAGGTAACGTTAACGTAGCAAAGCTGTCCATGACAAACAAATCATATACGTAAAAATGATGAAATGTGTGAAATACTGTGAGGGTGGCCCAACTCTAACATCAGATTAACCAGACAACAGCCACAGTTTAACGAACATTCTCAGACATGTTAAACCGTCCACAGCCAGTTATCTGTCTATATGTACCACGCCTGAACCAGGAAGTGCAGCTGTGACACTTCTACAAACAACTTTGGCTCCTGTGAACAATTTCTAGATTTTTCTTTGAATTTGACGTCATATTTGGTACAGTGGAGATATCATTCAGGCATTGACATCTAGTCTAAATTCATATTCATAATGAAGGACGCTCTGGTCCATAATGCTCATTGTATTGTTACTAATGTCAACTTTCTGCTATAAAACAGCAACGTTTCAAAACTAGAGCTTGTAGAATAGAGCAGATAAATATGGATTGTGTGTATTCTCAGATTTAGCATGTTTTTGTGTGAGTATAGTTTAATTAGGCATAAATGAGAAACTTAAAAAACACCTTTTGGATCATTTTCAACACTATAACTTTACCTGAATATATTCTGTTTAAATAGGTATGCACTGATGTGTCCTCCTCTCAGATATCTGACTTCACAGCCTGGCCAGATCTCCTGCAGACTCAGGACTCCTGTTCGGGGCACATATGCATCCTCTTTGGCCTGGACGACAACGATGAGACTGGTATCTACAGGAACTGCAGCAGAGAGGGAAACACAGGGACATCTACACAACATTCTTTCACTTTTGTGCAAAACACATGCAAATCTTTTCTGCCAGAAGAGGGTGGTAGACACAGCAGGAACAGTGAGCTGTTAAACATGACTGAAGATCAGCTGGGTCCTCTGCAGTGACCTGTGCCTCCTCTCACCTCACACCTTCTTGTATAAGCCAGGACGAAGCTCATCCTATTTCCCTCACAGTGTTCTAGCTTCACAATGACAATCCTGGAGAATGATTACAATCCCTGTGTCGTTCATTCAGCAGCAGAACTGATCTTCTGTGCCTTTTGATGGTGTATCAGTATCAAACATTCAATAAATCCTTTGAACACAATATTAAAAGTAAAAATAATCACGCTGGAGATTGTGTACTGTTCATGTAACAGAGACAAAAGAGCTCGTAAGGAACTGTCTACATACGGCCCAAGGAGCGAGGACACAGGTGGGACAAGTCTCTATTTTAGCAACGAGCAGAAAACTGACACTTCCTGTGTAAAAGCAGATTAAACAAAGGCTCTACAGGTGCGAAAAAGACGGTGCTGAGTTTCTCTGATCTGAGGAGAACATCGTTTTTCATCAGCTTGTTGCGAGTCTCTTAATCCTTTCCACACTTGGCTGATATTCCTTCTATACGGTTTCAATTTTACAAGCCAACGCCTTCGTGGTGTCATTGTCCATCTTTCTGTTTTGGCGTCAGTAGTCTCACTCATTGTGCCATGCTCCAGTATCCACACTTTAATGGCAACAAACAAACCAGTATGACCATCACGACCTTCAATTCATCAAACGTCAGCAGCCAACGCTTTTATCACAGCATCAGCTCTTTAGTATCACCGCCAACTGTAACGACACCACCTGCAACCTTATTGGTCAAAACCATTTCTGACGGCTGTGATGTGCTGCTGACAACAACCATATACATTTGTGTTATATACTGGCATGTGTAGAATATACTTGTATATAGGGATGGGTATCGTTTAGGTTTTATCTGATACCGGTGCCAAATCGGTACTTTTGAAACTGTGCCGGTGCTTAAACGGTGCTCAAACGGTGCTTAAAGAATGGAGAACACAAAATTGGTCCAAAAACCTCATGTTCAGCTGTTTTTTTGTAAAAAGATAACAATGTTAGCCTTTTCTGCAGCTATGGGGCATATATGGCATCACTCTTGGCTGGAAGCTTAAACAATGGAAAAACACAAACTTTGTCCAAAACCTCTCATGTTTAACTGTTTTCCACTTCTTCTTTGGTCATTTTAGCCTTTTTGGCCAGGGTGAAGGGAGTATCTGCCATCAAACAAGAAGACAGCCGCATGTAACTATGATGATGTTTGCTAGTTCACCTTACATGCATTAATGTAATAACGTGGTTAGCCTACTCAACGTAAATTACACACGAACAACATGAAGCTACTCACGCAGAGAAGAACGGCTGCTGCTGCATCATCATCCTCATCATTTCTGCTACACTGGCAGGGCTAGGGGCCAGGACTCTCCTCTTCGGGTTTGTGGGGGATGTTGCATAACAGGCACCACACCCGCAGTAGATGTGTGAGGTCTCGCAGCAAGCTATCAAATACGGCGCATTTCTGGGCTTTTAAAAAAAAACCGCTATGCGTCGCCAGGTGTTTCATCGGATTCGAGGTGTTACCTCCTTTGACAGTATCACAGTATCAGCTTAAAGCACTTGTTGCTGCTGAGTTTGCATCTTTTGCTGTGAAGTACAGCCAGACTTTTGACCGCTTCGCCTTGGGCATTTTTAATCTGTAGCTCTGCTCTAACTGAACGTACGTACCTGGCCCCGCCTACTATCCTCAGAAACGTAAAATGATTGGCTAGAAGTGTATCACAGCTCAGGAAAAAAAAGCACCGAAATAAAGCACCGAAATGTGCGCTGCTTTTCGGTCTGGTTACTACCGTTTATGTCAGGACACCGGTACCCATCCCTACTTGTATATATATTTTGTAACTTTGTAATATGTTGTATTATCCAGTTACTGTTCTTCATGTCCGGGAGCAACTCTGACCACAGGGATTAATTCAGTGTTGTGATTCTTCGCTTGTTCTTCTTTAAGCAGAGGTGTAATCATTCACTGCAGCACTCACCAGAGAAGTTGGCCATGTGTGTGCACTCATCCATCACTGCCTTCATGAAACTTATAGATTCTTTGTGTAAAGATGGACGACAACATTCGGCGGGATCCGTCCTTCTCCCGTGTGCGTTATATCCACCAAGAGCTCTGAGGAGACAGAAGAAACGGTTTTATGTCCCTTAATAATGAAACATTCTCACTGGGGATAAGACTTGCTTATTCTTATTCCATTATCGATATCACTTTCACAGCTTCTTTGCATCCTTCGGTCAAATGTTTGTGGCTGTGGAACCTGCCTGCAGAAGCTTGGCACACTTGATCAAGTTATTATTTTCCCCACTGTATACTACAGTGCACTGTATACTATTAAGTTAATGCATTTCACATGTCTGACCCTTTTTCACATTTTCCTAGCAAAACAGGAAAATGGAAATGGCTCAAGACTTTTGCACGATACTGGACGTCCATGTTTGTTGATACTGTAACCATAACAGGTTTATACTGATGGAAAATTGCATGTTACTGTGCACTGTTTGAAACATGCAACAGATGCTCAACCAGATGTTCGACAGCAAGTCTTAAAACACCTGTACTCTTACAATGCAGCATTAATGTGTGATTACACACGAGTTTCAAATGTTATAAAAATTCCAACGCATCAGCAGGTGTAGTGATCGAACACTCACGTTGGCAGAGTTTCGAAGCTTGCTCCAACACTGCTCCCCAGCGACAACAGATGCTCTGCTCCGTCTGTGGCCCCACCACAGTCACGTCCTCCGTCCACTCTGCTGCACTGGCTCACTGACAGTTTGTGGTCTTCAGACAGCTCGTGGAAATGCTCGTCCACATTCGTTACAAGTTTGGGACCCATCTTAAAGGAATCAGCCTACCAGCAGTGGACACGCAGCAAAAGATGTAGTCATGCATGTGTTACACGTATGACACAAGACCAAAAACACAACAAGCACAGTTTCACACTTAACTTCTTCTTTTAGTAAACAAAGAAAAATTCAATCTTTGCAAAAAACATTTTACTAGCGTATTAGTGTGTGCAGAGGGAGTGATGAAAGGAAGACACGGGTACTTTCTCCAGTCAGTTGTACTCGTACAGTTGTGAAAGTAATCCGAGTAATATTCTGTACTCCTGTGAAACTGCAGGAACACTTACCCCACAGTACTCCAGCAGCTTGATGATCTCCTCTTCATACCGTGAATTAATTGCATATTGCTTCTCCAGCTGTGTCCAGTTCACTGCTTTACTCAGCACACCCTACACACACACACACACACACACACACACATGCAGACACGCACGCACACATGCAGACACACACACACACACGCACACATGCAGACACGCACACACACACACACACACACACACACGCACGCGCACACACACGCGCACACACACACACGCACACATGCAGACACACACACACACACACACACACGCACGCACGCACGCGCACACACACACACACACACACACACACACACACACACACGCACATTTTTCAGTCATTAACTGTTCCTCCTGCTCAAGAAATGATCAAAATGCAGATAAACATACAACTTTAACCCCTGGAGGGTCCTAGAAAAATGCATACACTATCGGGCTTAGAGCCACAAATCGACCACGCCCAAAAAAGTGCTATAAAAAATTTATATATTAATATTTTATTCCACTTTAAAGTCTTCACCACAAATAAACTCCTGAAAGATCAATAAATGTCAGCTCAGCCAGACTCAGTATCAACAGTCTTATCTGATTTTGACAAACTGAAACAATTTGACTCCCAGTTTCAGCTGCACTCAGACTCTGAACCATGAATTTAACACTAGTATTGGATCAGTAACAGCAGCTTTGCAGGCAGAAACAGTATGAAAGCAATAATAAGTGAATGTGTCCTTATAGATGTACAGCAGGTAGAACTGCTCCTGACCGTGGTGAACACACTGGAGGCTGTGGACCAGGACAAACAGGGAATTAGAGGGATGGGTTTGGGCCAGTTGGTCACTGCCAGGGACGCCATCTGGACACAAAGACACACAAGTGACACACTTTAGAGAGATAACACTGGGCTTGCAAGTTTCTTTCCCCAAATGAAACCAAGATGCTGCTCTGTCCCACTTTACGAACTCGGAGGCTTGTTCTGTTGAAGTGGAAGCTTCCCCACCCCCAACATGAGCCCATTGGGTGGGGGACGTACTCTTTAACTTAAACTTAGATTCTCTCTCAAAGGTTTTATTAGGAAATGTAACAAAACCTGGAAATCATGTCTCTTACTGGTGGACACCATCACTTTACTTCCTGAGACTGAAGTGAACTGAGCGAGGCGACATCATAAGTTTGGTGTTTTTTTATTTGATCTTATTTTTACTTTATTTTTTTTTCTCCTTTTGTTTAGTTTGGTCCTTCTTGTTATGCTTGTTGTGTGTATGGGTGTGTATGGGTGTTGAGACTGGATCTCTGCGGCGTCTTGTCTCGTGTGGACCTGGTAGGGGGAGAATTCGGATGGGGGTTTGCTGTTGCTAACTTTGTATGTCGTGGCTGAAATCAATAAAACAAAGTTGGAATAAGATGCTGCTCTCTCGTATAACAAGATCGACAACTAAACATTTAGTGGTAAAATGTTATTTGACAAGTTTCTTTGACTCACATATCCTCCCATAGAGATGCCCGTCATTCCCAGGGGCCAGTATCCTTCTCTCTCCAGCCAGCGAAGCAGGACTGTTGATTCCAGGATCAAAGCCCCGCCCATCACAAACAGGTCCGACACATTTTTTAGACTGGATCGTCTAAAACACTCAAATGATATCTATATTCAATTTACGATACGTTCATTTGACCTTTGAGAAAAATCGAGCCGTGACGTCTGTTTCTATAACAACATCCAACAGCTCAGTGCGTCTCACACAGTCTCGCTTTGTCAAATGAATCAGTTTAGAAACAAACGATGCTTGAAAACGACAGCCTTGCATTTAAAACGTAAATAAAGCCAACAGGTGTTTGAATCAGCCCATAAGTCTGATTTGGAAACATCGAAGACGTTTCTGCCTCTTTTCTCCTTCTTGTTGCAAACATGAAAACTAAATGAGAATCTTTGTCACAAAGTTAAAAATCACTTTTTTTAAATCGACTAAATTTTCCAAACCAACAACCAAACTGGTTTTAATCGATCAAGTCAACTTACAGTTGGTCTCTGGGTTTTCGATAACCATGTGAAGCATCAGTCAAGGAACGTTCGTAGCAGACATTAAATAAAAACAACAACATGACACAGCTGTCTTCTAATCAGGTCACTGGATCGATTCCCAGCTCCTCTGATCTACAAGTGTCCTCGGGCAGGATCGTGAATCGATGCATCCAAGTGCGTCTGTAACAGAAGTGCTCTATGAATATGTGTCTGAACAGGTGGCTGGTAGTGCACACTCTGTTTACAAACAGGTTATTACGGGAACTTTCCACAGCATGTTCGTCATGTGCTTGTTTCATCAGCAGCAGCGGCGACAGCCATCGTACTGGTTTGTACACTCGCTGACTGAGTTTCCATGTTTGTCGTGAGTTACTTTGAAAGAAAGTTAACAACAAACGATGTTGTTGTTGAAGACAACAGAAGGATATAATAAGGGTTCTCCAGAAGTAATGACGCCATTCCTGCCTCTTTGATCATGGGCCGAGCCATCAGGGTCCGCCGACGCCAGAAAAACTACAGGTCATAGAAACACAAGGACAGAAACAGCATTCCAAAGGTCATCATCACAGCTCCTGGATCCTACAGATTGTTGGGGTCAGTTTCCAGAGTTAACCACACACTTTGACACCATTTATTTATTAAATCTTCTCGTCTGACGCGTTTCTCTGCTTCACAGTAAATCTGGACCTTGAACCAAGTCTGCTGCTCAACTTCTGAGGATTTCTTGCAGTAATGTCAAAAACACAGCACAAGTCTTAGGTCTGAGGAATCATCTGGTCCCTAACAGCTTCTATAATTATGCAAATATGACCTCAAATGAACAACAGCACTAAACATACGACACTCTTCTCTATAAGTCAGAGGACTGGAGTTGATCCGGGGTCTGGACTGTGACGGGTCATTTCAGCTCGTCTGTTACAGACTTGCTTCTGTGGATGGGATCATTGTTCTGCTGCATGAGCCAGCTGTGGTCAGGCTTCAGCTGCTGGACACACAGCCTCACATTTCAGTTAATGTTGTGGTATACAGAGGAGTGGGTGGTCCCGGGGTCTGTGTATCGATGCAGACACAGATCATCCCCCTCCACCTTTGTGCTCACTGTAATCGGTGGAGGCAGATGGCTGCTGGGTCTTTCCTCCTTGGTGTTAATCAACACCTTAATGCTCCAGACTAACAAACTGCTAAAGCCTACGTAGTTTTTCACCCACTCAATGATAAAATGCCACGTGAGGTTTGGATCACCTCGTTTTAGAACCACGGGGGCTCACTACGACATAAGCTGGGTTTCTTTGTGTCAGCTGACACAAGGCTTCCTTCCTCTGTGTGCATTCACATGAAGGGAGTTTGACCCCTTGGATCCAGTGAGCGCTGCCTGCTGCAGTTAGTGACATTATCAAAGCACACGGGATAGAGAACTGTAAACAACACGAACATATATAACAGTGCTGCTGCAAATAAAGACACGTGAGTCGGTCTTGCTGCAGAAAATATTAATTTTGTGATTTGATGATCACGAGCACACGTCATATAAATTCTTTCTTTCACTGCTCGGTGCACTCTGAGAGCTGCTGAACATCAGAGCACATCGAAACGTTACAGGTTACTCTGTGTTTGGGACTCTGTCCTATAGCCTGATAATGGATGATATACTTGGTGATAAAAAGCTACTTTCTTTATATCCATGTGCTTTGTTTTACATGATTGTGGGAGGGAAGTGAACACTGCTCGTTGTTATTTCAAAGGAAAACAAGATTGTCAGTGGCCTTTACTCCAGGGGTGTCAACATACGGCCCACTTTGATCTTAGATGGTCTGGACCAGTCAAACTCCGCTTCTGTCAGTGTAAAGAAGTTACAACTACAACTGTTTTTCTACTTGATAAAGAAAAAGCTGCTGTGGCAAAGACAGAAATCCATCAGCACAACTCTGGACTTACATGGTTTTATTTTTTTGGTTTGGTATTGTAAGTATTTGTTTCAGCATTATGAGTTCTGTGGCGGCTGCCTGGGAGCACATTCATATTAAAATAAAGGTAAGAGTCTTACATGGTCTCCAGTCCCAGCTAAGTGGATACATACTGGTCTGTTCTTCTGCCATCTCTTAGGAACTATGAACTGGAACCTGGAACAACACAAACGATGAGAGCCGCAGGTCTACAGGCAGCATTCCCACAGCATAAGTAAAACATTTTCAGCACAAACACAGCTTACATTTCAGCCCTAACGACTCATGTGGCTAGCTCCAAATTCAGCAAATACAACCTCAGATGGAGCAGAACATGGCACATTAAACTATATCATTAATTAGGGCTGGGCCATATCACACCGTTCACGGTAATACCGGTGTAATGTTGGGCAACGATAGGAAAATGAAATATCCCGATAGAATATGGGTAAAACGCGCATGCGCATGGCGGCGACGCAGAATGAGAAGAGCGAAAGCAGATCGTTGAATGAAACGATGAACCTGAACTGGTTTGTAAAATGCTGCAGCTTCACTGGTGTGGAACTGGTTTAGCTTTCCTCCGTCAGATACACAACAAAGCACTATTTTTGGTAGCGCATGCTAGCGGGCCGTCGTTATTACCGTGTTGTTTGGAAAATACGGCGCACTTAAAATCAATCCTTTGATTTCTCTGAAAGTCGACAGAGCTCCTTATAATCCCGTGTGCCTTATGTATGAACTCTGGTTGTGTTTACTGACCTCGAAACGATTTTATGTGCACGGCGCTCGAAAATCTGTCAGATGTTTCAGTGCGACTTTGCTGAGCTACGAAGCCGCACCGCTTGATGGATTGTCGGAGCATTACGGCTATCGTAGGCGGAGCCTGGCGGAGTGATACGTACTGTGCTTCAACATAATGTTACCGTATTGTGTGTGTATAAGCTCTTTTTAAGTTTTGTGGATGTTATACATGGTTATGCTGAGGATGTGTCGGCCAGTTTCCACTGGAAATGCCTTTTGGTTAAACTGTCAGCACGAATTTGCATTTGCACTGTTAAATGTTTATATAACTTTAATGCACTTAAAAAAAGCTGCTTGTTTAAGTGAAAATACATTGATGGGTTTGTTTGTTTTTTGCACTAATAAAGTTGTGGAGTTGTAAAGTATTTTGTCTCGTGTCAATTATATCGTCAGTTATATCGTTATGGCAAGTTTTCAAATGTATATCGTGATAAATATTTTGGTCATATCGCCCTGCTCTATCTTTAATTATTTAATAGAAATTAAGCCAAATTGCAGAAACACTCTTATTGTTTGTATAGGAGTTAAGAACATTTAAAACACCAGTGCTAGTCAAAAGTTGCTACTTAAAGCAGCACAATGCAAACGTTCCTCTGTCAGGCCTCCTCTGTGGTTTGTTGGAAGTGAAGGTCTAGTATTGGAGGGTCTGGGCATCCATGCTGTTCAGGCAGTTATGAAGAGCAGCTGTTGCATTAATGACAATGCAGCAGCTTCTTGGTGTGAATCGAAGTGCACTCTGAAAACGACTCCTCCAAACGTGCTCCACTAGACTCCTAGTGTGCATATGGCTGTAGCACCTTTGCTCAGGTGTAATTCAGGTGTGGTGTAAACAAAAACTTTGAGCACGCCCACTGTCACCAAGCAACAATAATGATCATCTCCTCTTCCAAACACAGTGATGAGTTAAAATCCAGGAATCATGAGTGACACCTTTCAAACATGAAAGAATATTTGAAAACTGTAACTGGGGAGTGCATACACCCTGGACATTAATGGAAAACCAGTTCTTGGGATTCCTGTATTGCTCAGCATCTGGGATGGAGCGACGTTTTGTGGTTCCACTGATGCAGCCGATGACTCCTGGAAAGTTCCCAAATTCATAGAACTTGTAATTAACTCAGGTTTCAGCATCTGGGAAGTTTATGTTCTGTCTTCTCAATCCACAAATGGTCCTGCACACAGTGAACGACACTGTTGGTTCACCGAGCCCACATAAACCCCCAGCTTCTCTGTGGAAGGTGCCAAAAGACACAAAGTTAAGAGCACCTGCAGACTTACTGGACTTACTGGGTGAAAGACTGGGTTCCAAAATGAAGTGATCTCCACATCATTTACTTTATGCATTCGAAACGAGCTCGAAAACTGATGTCATCAAAAAGCTTCAGTGGATGACTTCTGTCAGCAATTTGTCTAGCAGACGGTTTTCATTGATCATCTCTGAGATTCTCCAAGTAACCCATGTTATTCACCAAACAACATGAACTCTGAAGTTAAACCTGCCTGCTGGGACGTTCTATTTAAACTTCAGTTTATGCCTGGACTAGCTCTGATCTCCCTCCAGTAAACAAGCGTAGTTTAGTCAGGAATAGGCTTAGTCTGGCACTGTTTATACCGTGACTGAGGAAGCAGATTTCTGTTAGTCTGCATTGGCTGTTTAAATCTAGGACTAGCTTTAATCTCTGTCTGGGAACCCGCCCCTATAGAGCGCCTCAAGTGCTCAGGTAGAGTAGATAAGCACTAGATAAGAACCAGTCCATTTACGGCTGCTATAAACAAGAATGGGTCGCTCTCAGGAGCTCAGTGACTTCCACCAAAGCACCGTGACAGGATGTCACCTGTGCAACGAGTCGCTGCCATAGATTTCACAGTCAGCTGTTAGTGGTATTATAACAAAATGGAGCCATGAGGAGGATGGCTGGGTACCATTACACAGCAGGGTCAGCTTCAGCTGAATTTTTGTTAAATAAATAACGACGCTGTAATTTCTGCACATCTGAGGTTGTATTTACCTGATTTGAAAAATTGGTAAGAACAAGATGTTTTTAACCATGTGCTGATATGCAAAACCTCAGACGTGACAGAGGGTATATGTGTCACGAGTTCAAGAAGTTTGAGGGTAACAATGCTGGAGAAAAGAAGGAAAACTAAACCGAACATTATGTTGCATCATTTTCTTGTTCCTGTTTTTATCTCGTCTTTCTCTAGCTGGTCATTGCATGCGTCTGCCACCCTGAGCTTATTTTCCTGTAACTATAACAGAAAATATTCATTAAAAAAAGGTTATTCAATGAATGTTTCAAGTTTAAAACAATAACTGAATAACTTTATTTTAAAACCCCGTCTGTATGTTTGAAAGACCCTAAACCAGCATCCACTTGGCCCTCTGGACAAAGCACCGCATCAAACTCGGAAACAACCCATTCTCCTGTCTATTCTCTGTCTCCTTTCATTGCAGTGGCAAACAACAGCACCTCTTGTACCTGGCCTTTACAGCCTCTTGTGGCAGGATCCCAGGAACCAAATGCTCCAGAGGAGAGATAAAGAAGCCCTCTTGGACATGACAGTCAGCAAGCTCCTCTGTCTGCACACAAACACACAAATAATAACTAATAATACAAAAACAAAACAGCACAAGAAGGAAAAGAGAGGAAATAAATGATGTACCTTGTTTATATAAACGGGATAGTCCTGAGGAACCAGAGACTTGCACTTCTCTCTGTCTCCAATTATCTTTCGAAACTCAAAGATTCTACAAAACAAACAGACACATCAGTTTGCAGCTGAGGACGTGCTGATCTCATCCACGACCTGCTCACTGTAAGCTGGAGGTTACCACCTGATGAAGTGCGGGCGAAGGCAGCTCGACTACCACTAGCTCTAGGAAATCACATGATAGGGCGGGGCCGGGTTTCACAATGACCTCACCCTGGCTGATTGTGAGCCACACCCGTTTTCACGCCTTGGCTCGTGTGATTGGGTAGAGGATCAAGAGGGGGTCCATGACCCTCTTGGGGGGTCTCACTAATTTAGAAGATCATTTAGCCTAGAACAATATAAAATAATGATAAACCAACAATTATAGAAAAAAAGCTAAGACACCTTCCTGTTCATCACTGACTGAAGAACCAACCCCAGCTGCCTTACATAAGACTGACACTGACTGATCCAGAGTTAACTTCAACTATCACTTCCTCCAAACCATCAAGTCTATTAGATTCAATTCTAAGCTGCCCAAATAAGTACTACCATTAATTAATGCTTCAGTCTTAAATATGATCAGTCTATGCCACTGATGGGCTACAAACCTTTAAGGTGGTAGTAATTAAACTGTGCATTACTCCTCCCAGCTCTCTTAGCTAATTATAGGCCAATCCTTCCTTTTAATTTCCAAAACTCTTGAAAGAGCAGCTGTGTGTCTGTAAAGCAGTTAACTGGTCATCAGCTACAGTACTGCAGAGAAACTCAGGGTTGTTCTTCAATGCGTGATGAGCAGGAAAATGCCCTAGCTGTGCAGAGGGCTGTTTGTACAGCAACAAACTCTTTTTCCAGGCTGAATGAAGATCTTCTAAATTACTAAGACACCATTTCTTCTCAAGCTTATGAGTCAGCTGCTTTACGATGTGTGTTTAAGACATAAGAGAGTCAAGTACTTGTGATTTGAGGTTTTGTTTTTGGGTCAGCATATCCAGAGTCGTACACAGTGAGGATGTAAGTCTATTAACGAGATGATCAACCTGTGTGGAGGGTTTGGGTACTGTGTGGTGCACAGTACTGAAGAGCATGACAGAGGAGGAATTATGTCCTTAAACTTAGTTATAACACTTTTCAAGACATACTGTCAGTTAATGTATTCCCAAATGCTGTGTAATCCGTTATTGTAACTTTAAAGAATGATTTCATCTGACCTGAGTACTAAATCAGAAAAGTCTGAGTACAGGGTGGGTTATTCATATGGATACAGCGTAATAACATGGGAATGGTTGGTGATATTAAAGTCCTGTTTGTGGCACATTAGTATATGTGAGGGGCAAACTCCTCAAGATGGGCGGTGACCATGGTGGCCATTTAGAAGTCGGCCATCTTGGATACAACTTTAGTTTTTTCAATAGGGAGAGGGCCATGTGACACATCACACTTATTGGTAATGTCACAAGAACAACAATGGTGTGCTTGGTTTCAACGTAACTTTATTCTTTCATGACTTATTTACAAGTTTCTCTTTGTTCACAGCCATTGACATGTTGAAGGTTAACACGTGAGGATCGAAATTGTGTTGATATCTGGTGAACGCAGTAACCGGGTCATTGCAGCAGATTTCAATGCAAGACCCCCTACGAGACCACCCATCTCCCATGCTGCAGTCAGCAAACTGCTTGCTTGTGAAACTGGTTCAGTGTTGGATTTGCCAAAATGTGGACGCAAGAAAACTGTCACTAATGAAGAAACATCAGTGGCTGTCCTAGCTTCATTCAGCAAGAGCCCACAGCGTAGCACTCGCCGCATGTCACTGGAGAGTGGCATTAGTCCAACATGGGCAAAACAAAAACTGGAACAGGACCCTCAGTTCACGCAGAAGATTTTGTTCAGTGATGAGACAAACTTCTATGTGAATGGTGTTAACAAACAAAACCACCGCTATTGGTCTGACACTAACCCACATTGGATGGATCCCTCCAAGACTGTTGGCACAGCAAAAGTGATGGTTTGGTGTGGTATATGGGGCACAACGATAGTGGGTCCATTCTTCATCAATGGAAACCTCAAGGCTGCTGGATATTTGAAGTTGCTACATGATGATGTGTTTCCCTCTTTATGCACTGAAGCTGGCACGTTCCCTGACTTTTTCCAGCAGGATGGTTCACCACCACATTATGGGTGCCAGGTCCGAGCATTCCTAGATGAACAGTTTCCTGGAAAGTGGATTGGTCGTCGTGGGCCAGTTGAATGGCCCCCAAGGTCTCGCGATCTGACCCCCTTAGACTTTTATCTTTGGGGTCATCTGAAGGCAATTGTCTATGGTGTGAAGATACGAGATGTGCAGCACCTGAAACTACAGATGCTGGATGCCTGTGCTGGCATTTCTCCTGCGGTGTTGCTATCAGTGTGTGAAGAGTGGGAGAAGAGGGTTGCATTGACAATCCAACACAATGGGCAGCACATTGAACACATTTTATAAGTGGTCAGAAACTTGTAAATAACTCATGAAAGAATAAAGTTACGTTGAAACCAAGCACACCATTGTTGTTCTTGTGACATTACCAATAAGTGTGATGTGTCACATGGCCCTCTTCCTATTGAAAAAACAAAAGTTGTATCCAAGATGGCCGACTTCTACATGGCCACCATGGTCACCGCCCATCTTGAGGAGTTTGCCCCCTCACATATACTAATGTGCCACAAACAGGACTTTAGTATCACCAACCATTCCCATGTTATTACAGTGTATCCATAGAAATGGCCCACCCTGTAGAGTAAAGTGGGCATCTACAATTCCACCCCTCAGGCAGGAGGCTCCGGTCCATTCGCACCAGAACCTCTCGCCATAAGAACAGTTTCTTCCCCTCTGCTGTTGGACACATGAACAATAACCATATGACTGTTCCCACCACTAACACATGACCCTACGCTGTGTTCACTGCATCATTCCATGTTTGGCACTGATCACCACCTGCACTCATGTATATATCTATCTACTTAGCACTTTTAATTTTTATGTTTATTTAAGCGTAATTTATGACAGTATGTTTGCACTAAGTACCGCAGCAATTTCCTAATGTTGTAAACCTGCTCAACATTTGGCAATAAAACCCTTTCTGATTCTGATATCACAAAGAATCAACTTTTCTTCTGTGGTTGGCTTCACTGTGTGGTTGAATTTAGCACAACTGCAGTACTCCCCGACAGGACACTTGCGCTGCACTTGCTAAACGCAGGCGGGAAACAGTTATTGTTTGGTGCACGTACAGAAAACATTGGGTTTCAGAGCGCAGTGCATGCCCCGTCCTATGTGAAAGGGCCATGACAAAATGCTTCATACCTCTTGAGGTCTTCAGGCTTCCCCCATCCCCCAATAAAGAGTTTGGTGAGGAGCAGCCTTCGGTAGAATACATCCAGTCGGCTCACACCCATGGACCAGCCCCTGGCATCTACAAAGAGAAGGACATGCTTTATTCTGAAAGTGCTTACTTCCTGTAGGATTGTTAAGAACAGAAAATAACAAAAAAAAGTCAGATGCTAATACATCTTTGTTTGACAACTGAGCAATATACCTCCCCCAAAAAAGGTTAAACGAGTCGCTCTACGAGCACCGATTCCTTTGAGTCAGTCGTGTTCTGTCAGGACAAGCAAGGCAGGAAGTGCTTGAATGTCCAATGTAAAGATGAGGATACATGAAGACAAAGGAAATTTCAAATCTCACAGGAAACAGTAGTTTGCATCTGTTTTAAAAGCGTGTCTTTCTCACAGTGATAACGGCTGGAGCTCAGTAAGCTCAGAGGCCAGCAGTGTTTTTCTGGTGGTTTGTGCATGTACATTATGGATAAACCACTGGTCTATGACAGTAAACTGATGGGAGAGCAACCTGCGAGACAAGCTGCCAATGGGTCTGCTTTCACTGTCCTGAGATCAGTTAGGACTAGTGCTTGGTATGGAAAAAAGCTAGCATTAGCAAGTAAATAAGCTTTAGTGATTTAGCATCGTAATAGACAAGTTTCTGTTTGCTAACCACTTGGCCAACATGATGCTAAAGGGTGAAAACGTTGCTAACTCCATTAGCTGACCATTATCGAACGTTGGGTCTAATAACACTGGAACACTGAACAGCTGCTTGAGCACCACTTACATAGCTGCTTTGCCAACACTCCTAATTCTGTTTTTTATTCCTATTTTAATGTCTCCTTGAATATACAGACAGCTAACCATGTCTGCTCAAACCTTTTAATTCAGGTTATTATATTGTTAATAATCATTTTTGAAAAATCAAGACTGATTTAGGATATTTTCAGTGGAAAATACATTGAGGTTCAGACTCTGCCAGCATTTAATGGCTGAATGTTAACTTGTGAACAAATTCAACATAAACAGTTGAGCATCCTGTATTTAACAACTCGCTCTGAAACACATTTCATCCCACTTAAGTCTTAAAATAACTTCAGCCTAGTCTTCACTCAAACATGTGCCAGTTCCCTAATGTGACAGACCTTTTCTCAATCAGTGTGACTGATTACAGCATGAATGACGACTGCAGGAAAACTGGCTGACATAAGCATGATCATCTACTGAGGCAGGGTTAGAAAGATGGAGACAAAACATTTTATTCTTAAAGTCTCTGTCCATATGAGTGAATTATTGTAAAAGCAGTTATGTTAAGTACAAAAAAAGCAAACCAGATATAACAAAATAACAAACTGTGCACTTTGGCAGTGACTTTATGAATGAGGAAAGAGTGTCAGAGAGCTGGTTGAGGTGCAGCAGGAAGGGATAAGTCAGGAAGAAAATCTGCCAGCGAGCATGTTACGTTCACATAGTCTGTCAGCCACCACCTCACAGTTAACAGACTCATTTTTAGCCATCTTCCTGGAATAGGGCGCAGATCTCAGTCCAACAGAGTACATTTAAGATGTGACAGAACAGAGCTGCCGAGTAATCTGAAGGATGATGCAGATCTCCCATTACACTACTCTGATGAAACGTATCACATTTCTCTTCATAAAGTGATATTTCCCCGGTTGGTTGCATTGCCATTTGAAACTGAGCAGATATAAGAACATAAACAAATTTATATATTTCATGTGACTTCTCAACTCTAGCTCTTCTCGCGAGATTTGACAACACTGACACGAGCAGAGGTCGTCAGGGAGGTCTGGCGGCTGACTTGACCTAAAGCTTGATTAGTGCACATTTCTAACAGTGAGCCTTCAGAGGAAATACTTCCTCCACATACTCGGATCACGACGGCGCTTTAGTTTTATGACAGAAACAAATCAGAACAAAGCTGTCAGTGATGTGCGGTACAATGACGGGGTGACTCGTAATTTCCATTTCCATGCATAATCATCACCTTGTTACAGCATAAAACGCTATATCGTCTTCCACTGGTCGCTGTGGGTAGTAACTGTAATAACAACAACACGCTGACAATATAACGCAGAGACCAGCTGTACGACGGACACCGCCACGCGTTTCAACTTGCTGCTAGCTGTAAGTTAGCAAACTTCGCCTTAGTCATTCATTAGCGAGTTTCAAACCATGCAAACACAGAGAGAAACAACAGCACTACCTCAGTCTGTACCCGAACGTATATCTCTGGCTTTGCTCGCACGGCTAGTTGAGCTAAGGAAGGCAAATGTAGTGACTTCGTCAAGCTACTGAGAGGAATGGTCGCAATTCAAAGGAAAAAACGGTCGGAACTTCCGGTGTTCCAGATTAACCGGTTTTCACGTTATCTGGTGTTTGTTAACGGTACAACCTGTCAGAACAAGCTCCAAGTTTCAGATTCGCCACATTTTCAGACATTTTCGGAAGAAATTGAATTTTAAAAGACGCGTGTTTAGTTCAGAGTATCAAACATGACTTTTTAAAGATAGAAATATTTTTTTAAAAATCTGTACGATCATTATTATTATTATCGATAAAATGAAATAAAAAATAAGCGACTGTTTCCCGGACGACAACGGAATATTTTACAAGCCATTTTCATCAGCGGGTTAATTACTTTCTTGCCTTATTTCTTATATCCGTTTTTTGTGGCAGCAACAGACACGGCTGCCGGGTAGAAGCAGCATGCTGACTGGCCACACTTCCAGCTCCTCCCCTGGCTTAGGAGGGACGAATAACTGAATCCATCTTTTTTATTATAAATTTATTTTGCCCGAAAAGCCAGAATCTCAGGTTAAACCTCACAAAATTTCAACAACCACCAAACAGCTAAAACCGTAAATGAGAGCAGAAACACGGATTCTGCACAAAGACGTAAACAGCATCAGGATCAGTGAGATGTCCCACAGGCACGGACACTGTTTCGGCGGGCCCGCGCTTTGTGTTTGCGCCCTTTTTGCGCTGATTCTGAGCTGCAGGTTTTATCTCTCTCCAACCAAAATTCACCAAACCAGCAGCAAAAGAAGCAGCAAACTGCGCTTCACATTTGATCAGCATCGTCATGAATTCACTCTGACTTTCGCTGTTTTGCTTCCACCACACTTCATGCACAGCTCTCTCTCTCTCTGTACTTCAAGAACAGTTTCCGTCTAAAAATCTGTTTTCTGCATTATTCGCTTGCTTGTTACGCACAAGTCTACCGTTGTTTGCAGCGCTGTGGGCCGCTGTTTTTTTACTTTTACTTACTTCCGAAAAGAAAACCTCATTTCTGCTGTTCAATACTGAACAAATTTCAACTTTTTAAAATTATGCAAAATTGCAAAACACTCAGCTGTGTCTCTAATCAAACCGCTGTAACTTTGCTCTGCTTCACTTCAGCAGCATCAGGTAATGTTCATATGCTGATTAATGGTTTTCTTTCGTTTTTTGATGTACTGCAGAATATTTTTATAAAATCCCAGAACAGGAAAATCACCTTCATGTTTTTCTGTGTTTTATCTTCAGCTACTTTAACACAAAGGCCTCTGCTGTGATGCTCACAGCTCTGATAAAGTCTGGCAAGTGTCAGCTTCCTTTTTATAGATATAAAAATGTGGAAATGTACTGATGCTGTAGCGGGAGACTACTGTACCCATAAGGCTGTGTGTGTGTATGTGTGTGTGTGTGTGTGTGGGGGGGGGGTACTTCCGGGAAACGAAGTAAAGTTGGTGAACTTCACCCGAACGTGCTGAGTCCAGTAGTGATGGGATTTCCGGCTCTTTTTAGAGAACCGGCTCTGCAGGTTGTTTTGTTGCTTTAATTCATTTATTATTAACAATAATATAAAATTATGCACAAAAGGAATTACTAATGTAAAAAAAAAGTATTTTTATTTATATATGTTTATATATAAATATATGTGGTGGCCCCTAGAGACAAAACACGTACAAACTTCAAAACACATTTCTAGCTTGAACTGAACTTCCAAAACAGAGCTACCTAGATCAGCGGTCCCCAACCCCCGGGCCTCGGACCGGTACCGGTGCGTGAGTCGTTTGGTACCGGGCCGCGAGAGTTGAGGCTCAGGTGTGAAATGTCTGGTTTTCAGGGTTTTTATCAGTTTTCAGCGTTATTTTATTATCGTTTTTATCGTTTACTCGGTTTTCCTGGGTCTTTTCAGTGTGTTATGAATAAATCTTCTTTTTTTCGGTACCGGTACTAGTTTTATTTTGTTGTATTTATGCGCGACACCTTAAAGGCCGGTCCGTGAAAATATTGTCGGGCATAAACCGGTCCGTGGCGCAAAAAAGGTTGGAGACCGCTGACCTAGATCACGTAAATTACACAATTGAAAGCATGAAAGCATATGTGTATTGTTTGTGTATTCATGCACAAGCATTCATATATATTCAAATCATTAAAAAAAAAAGTTCATTTACCTGTTACTACCACACACCAAATCTGGTCGTGGTACTTGCTGAACTGAGACACACAACAGCAGAGGTCACTATTAATGCTATAAAAGAGGCCTTTGCAAGACATGCAGTTGCCGAGACTGTGGTATCGGACAGCGGGCCGCAAGTTTCATCAGAACAGTTCAAGCACTTTGCTAAAGAGTACCAGTTCACACATGAAACGAGCAGCCCCAGGTACCCCCAAGCCAACGGGGAGGCAGAACGTGCTGTTCGTACCATTAAAGACTTGAAAGGACTGTGACTACAGCAGAGCACTGCTAGCGTGCAGGGCCACCCCACTGGAACATGGGCTCTCACTGGCACAGTTGTTCATGGGGAGACACCTGCGTACCTCTCTGCCACAAGCTGCAGCGAAGCTGGTGCCAAAGTGGCCCGACCTACAGGCTTTTCGCAGGAAGGATGAGAAGGGGAGGCGTGAGCAGGCAAAACACTACAACCGCAGACAGAGTCAGGACAGAAGGTGTGGATTACTACTGAAGGAACCACTGGAGCAGTAGTTGGACCTGCCAGTGCTCCCAGATCTACAGACGGGTTTTCTAAGGAGAGGAGCCACCTCACACCAACAGAGACTGTTACCAGATCTGGTCGAGTGGTGA